AACAATCATACCATTTTTTTCAAAATCTAATGGAACAATAGTTTCATCAATTCCATCTTCTTCATCTCCATCAGTATCTTCTTGTTGTGCACCATGACCTGAATAATGGAAAAATAATGAATCATTTGGTCTAGCATCTGAAACTAACCAACCAATAGCTTTCAAAATATTTTCCCTTGTTGGAACTTTAACCATTTCACGTTGATCATCAGTTAAGATAACAATATCACCTTCATCATACCCATTTTTGGTTAAATAATTCTTCACATTATGAACATCATTAATACAACCTCTTAATGCATTATTAGTACCAATATAATTAATACCAACTAATAAAGCCTTACGACGTCCTGTACAGTTTGAATATTGATAATTATAACCTTGAACACCAAATGATTGAGGATTACTTGGTGGTGCTTGAGCTTGTTGTGGAACATGGAATCTCATATTTTGTGCAGGATCTTCTTCTTGGAAAACTGAATGAGAATTTACACCAGTATCTTGAGCACCAAAATTACCATTTGAAAAAGTTGGTCCACCATGTTGTCTACCACCTTGAGGTCTACCACTTTGTTGAGGTCTACCTTGTTGGGGTCTTTCATAACGATCTTGTTGTTGTTCTTGTCTTCTACCATAATTATCTTCTTGTTGATAACGACCACCACTTTGTTGTTGATGATATTGACTTTGATCTTGATAACCGGAACGACCACCACTTTGTTGTTGTTGATATCTTTCTTCTTGGTATCCACCTTGACTTCTTTGGTCATAACCTCCTTGACCACCATAACCTTGTTGTTGATATCCACCTTGTTGACCACCTTGATATCCACCTTGGTTATAGCCCTGGTTATACCCGGATTGTTGTTGATAACCTTGACCACCTTGGTTGTACCCACCTTGGGACTGTTGATTGTGACGACCTTGACCTGGGAACATCTTGCACTCTGACTCTTTAAATAACCTTTAACCACTTTAATTGGAATTGTTCAACGTAAAATTTAGTTCAAAATGTTTCAAGATCTGAATATCCACGTCAAACTGAAATTCGCGGTCTCAGCCTTTTACTATGTGCGTGGTGTAAAATGATTTGTGCATTGGTTTATTATATTTTAGGATTAAATGTAGTAGAAATTGGTAAAATTACTATTGATTTATTAGTTTTCTGTTACAAGCATTGTTGACTAGAACATTCTTTTCTGCAGTCAATCTTCCTTTTAAAATATTGAAAATTCTCCATAAAAATGCCCTTTTATACCCGCGAATTCTGAAATTATAACCAAGCCAATTTAGATCATCTCCAAAATTTTGATCTTTTGCAATCAAAAACATAGGTCTAGATACACTTCAAAACACAAAGAAGAAGGAACACCGATGGGGAAACATAAGGGAGAATCATTGGACCCAGATGGGCATCCATACGACTACATCGTCATCATTGATGCTGGTTCAAAAGGTTCACGCGCAAATGTCTATCGTACGCGAAGATTCAATAATAATAAGACGAAGAATCAAGTCCGTGATTGGAAAGATGAATCTGTGTCTACAACCACATCAGACTCTGAAAAGTCTAAAAAGAAACACAAGAGTGATAAACAACAATCAAATGATCCTCCAATTACAGATTATCCTGAAATTATTAGTATGAATGCTAAACATGTTAAAAAAATTAAACCTGGTATTGCTTCATTTGTTGATAATACAAAAAAATTGAAAAAATCTTATATGGGTAAATTACTTAAAGATGTTTTGAAATATATTCCTAATGATCAAGTTCATAGAACTCCAATTTTCTTACATGCAACAGGTGGGATGAGATTATTAAAACCTGAAGATCAAAATTTAATCTTGGGAGAAATTTGTTCATATATTCAAGATAAATTTGATTTTTATTTACCAGATTGTAATTCTCATATCAATAGTATAAGTGGTGAAATTGAAGGTTTATATTCTTGGATTGGTGTTAATTATAAATATGGTGTCTTGAATGCCGCTTTAGAATCAAGAAAACAATCATTTGGTATATTAGATATGGGTGGTGTATCTTCACAAATTGCCCTTGAACCAAATATCACAGATTCTGATAATAACAATACAGATTATTTATTCAAAGTTCATTTAAATTATTTAGATCCTTCAAATGAATCCAAAAATTCGTTTAATGTGTTCAGTGAATCATTCCTTGGTGGTATGAATCAAATTCATACTAAATATGATCAATTATTAATTTCACAAAATGAAACTACTGATCCATGTTTACCAAAAAATTATGTCACCACAATTGAATCCACCTCATCAGAAACTGGTTATGAAGAAGAAATTCCAATCACCGGTACAGGAGATTTTGAAACTTGTGTCACATCATTAAATTCATTATTAACCACTATAACATCAACAAAATCATGTAATTTAACATCATCAACTTCATCAGTTTCTTCATGTCTTCTTACAGATTCAATGCCATATTTAAATTTTAATATTGAAAGATTTATTGGTATAAATGGATTTTATTCAAATTTAATGAATTTTATGAATTATCAAGAATTTTATTCCAAAACTAAAAAAACTTGTTCATCACATTATACAGATTTATTAAATTCTGAAAATGATGAAAAAACTTCAGAAATTTGTTTTAAATCAAGTTGGATTATAAATGTTTTACATAATGGTCTAGGATTCCCAAGATATGGAATTGATACAAAACAAGATTTAGAACAAGAAGAAATTTCTGTTTTTGATGATAGTTTTAAAATTTTGGATGAATTTAGTTGGACTTTAGGTCGTGCTGTTTTATATTCATATTATGAAGCTGCTCAAGCACAGCAAATTTCATCTTTAGGAAATTCAAATGATACTCTTAAAATTGGATTTATTGAACCAATATCAAATGTTTTCCATTATGGTGGTGAAATTCCAGGTATAAGTTCAAGACCTGATTATATTAAAGGATATTCATCAAAATCAAAAGTTCATGATGATGATGACCATGATGATGACACTGATGATGAGGACGATGATGATGATGATTGGGATGATGTGTTAGAAGAACATAGATTATGGGGAAGTTTATTATTCCTGTTAATGTTATTAGTTGTTGGTTATTTGATGTTGGGTAAAACTAAGAGAAAGAATATTATTGATACTGTAAAGAGATTATATCATGAAAAATTTAGATCAAGATATTTACCTGTTGATCATGATATTAATGATCTTGAAATTGATGATCTTACACCAAGAAATGAAGAGGATGAAGATAATCAAGATAATCGTCATAGAAGAAGTGACAGTTTTGATGTATAATTATTTACTAAAATACTACAATATCAAATAGTTCTCCCGTAAATCAATAAAATTTCATTAAAACCAAATATTATGGTAATCTATCATAGTATATATAAAATTATATTTTTTTTGTTGTTTTCAAATAACCAAGTATTAAAAAAGTATCCTTAAAAAACCAAAGGATCTCTTTTTATGCAAATATAAAAATAAAACTCAATAATATAATTGATAATTTTAATCAGCTAATGTACAAAATAAATGAATGTGTTGTATGAAATGTGTTGTGTTGATAATATCAAATCACCAACAGCTATAACCACCATCAACAATCAAATTTTCACCAGTAGTATATGATGAAGCATTGTGAGAACCGAAATATAAGATAGCACCAACAAATTCTTGTGGATTAGCCATTCTTGCCATTGGAATTTTTGATTCCCAAGTGTTTTTCAATTCAACATTTGAACCAATAACATGTTTAGTTAATGGAGTTAAGATATAACCTGGAGAGACACAATTAACTCTAATACCATATTTAGCCCATTCACAAGCTAAGGATTTGGTTAAATGAATAACACCAGCTTTAGCAGCGTTATATGCAAATTGTGGTTGTGGGTCATTAACGATAACACCAGACATTGAACCAATCATAACAATTGAACCTGGTCTTTGTGCATCAACTAAGTTTTTAGCAATAGCTTTGGCAACGTAATAAGAACCCATTAAATTAACTTGAACTAAATCAGCAGCTTTTTGATTTGGATATTCTAAAGCGGTATAGTTTTGACAATAACCAGCGGTATGAATTAATAAATCTGAAATATCATTGTAATGTTCATTAATCTTGTTAACGGTTAATTCAACTTCATCAGCGTTACCAATGTTACAACTCCATGATGAGATTTTTGGTAATGGGTTTAAACCTTGTTTTTGACCCCATAAGGCTAAATCTTCAGCGGCAGCATCACAAACTTGTTGATTTAAATCCACAAGAGCAACATGAGCACCTTGGGCTAAAAGAGCTCTGGTTAAAGTGATTGATAAACCACCAGCACCACCAGTGACAACGGCGATTCTTCCGTCTAATCTGAAGTTTGGAACAACGTCTTCAATAGTTTCTGTGGATTCTAATGTCATTGTGTATAGTAGTGTAGTATTTGTATGACTTGATATATACTAGAAACCAAACATCATGATTTCCAAATTCAATTCCAGGATTTCCATGTGTTTATATATCCAAAAATCCCAAATCTTCTCCAGTAAAACAAAAAATGTGTCTGTTGTCAAAAAATCAAAATTGATTTTGTAAATGTCATTTTTCTTTTTTTTGACTTGCGAAATTTTGCATTTTGCAAAAAAGTAAAAAAAATTACAGCGCAAAAGAAAAGCAGAAATGAACATTTGAAAATGGTAATTTATAAAGGTTTTAACGTATTTAAACAGTTTATGTATTGAATTGTGAAATTTTAACTAGATATTTGTATACCAGGAAGTTACAGAATTACAACAGTGTAATTTTTAGTTGGATTGGTCTATCCTACCTCGTACAATCTCAAGGAGAAGGTTTCGGCTTCCTAAAGAACACCGCTTTCGCCTCCAGAATTCTATGCCCAAAGAGCAAAAATTATATAGCAAAAACCCAGAATCAATACTTCGTTTATAAAGAAACGACAAACAAGATAATATAAATCATGAAACATATAGATAATAATAGAACAGTAGTGCTTGTATATTGTTCTTTAGCTTCAATAGATAGAATTGAGCTTTTTGCTTTGTTGACATGTTTCAAAAGATCGTCTAACGGTTACCAAATCCATCAAAAGTCTATTCGATGACCTTGGAAGTTGGAAATGTTGGTCAGTATTTCCAAGGATATTTACAATCTCATCGAAACAGTTTCTCTTAAGGTAACCCAATATAGACAACAAGGGTTTATGAGCCGTTGTATAAAAGTAATCATAAGTACTGGTTGTATGAAATCGATCGATGGTAAGGTACTGACTGTAAAGGTAACCCACAATTTTGATTCAATCAACCAATAGTTATCTATTCAATAGAATAATAGCCCGAGCTAGAGTAGAGCCATATACATGGATAAAAAATATTTCTCGTTGAAATCAAGCCAACAAAAGCTTTCTACCTAATAATAGATACTCCACCCTCCCTCCATCGAAACCTTAATTGATGAGCATCATCTACAAAAAATCACCAAGTCGATAAACAATTAGCGTGACATTGATCTTAAAATCTTATACTTTAATTGATCATCGTCTAAAAGATGACCTTTTCACATCATTTGTGATTCAAGTTGAGTTTATATAGTACATTCTGTTGGAAACGTTGTAGAGATTTATAGGAAACACTCGACATTCTTTAACTAGAATCCGGGGTAAGGTGTCAATAGCTAGGCTGGGATTTGGCTGGGGCTTGGTAGGCCGAAGAGTTTATTCTACAGTCATCTTGAGAATATTGATACTAGATTTAGGCAGGGCTTTTTCAAAATTCCCGGGAGAGTTAGGCAGAAGGCCCGCCAAATTTGGCTATGTGACCTTTATGAGAGTAAAAGGTCATCGCTCTGCCTAATCTGCCTACCTTCCTATATCCGAAGTACGGAAATCTTTTTAATCTTTTAGAGAGTCACTAGAAAAAGTCATACCTAGTAAATTGTAATTGATATCGTAAACAGTAACCATGAGTTTCATAAATAGCTAGCATAAGGAAGTTATTAGTACTATAGTTAAAGCTTAATACCCTAGCTGAATCACTTGAGGTAATCATGTATTAATGTGTTGGAAATCTTGCTTGCAGTTAGGCTCTGTCTCTATTCAGCAAGTTAACTTCATGAGCTCATAGAAGGTTCTAGTAACTGGTCCCTTGGTTTAGTTACGTAGGCTCATAGTTGACAGCCTTTCACAAATTGATTGGAGCTCTTCCTAAGCTTCTGTCTAAAGTTTTATTCTCTGCCTAGCTTCAAATAACATCTCCTCTGTTAAACTTTACTGTCAAGCTTTCAAATAAAAGTAAGGCACATTATCGTATGAGGTACGTAGTTTATCCCTTTTGTGCTTAAGTTTTCTTATTTTATATGTCACATTGCAGAAGTTTATACTAGTTTTTCATAAACATTCGGATAAACCATGTAGAATTACGTAAATGTGTCAGCGATGAGATAAGCATTTCTTTCTTTTTTAGAATTTTCTTGAACTTTAATTTATATCTTTTGCGCAAAAACGATCAAAATAGGTGAAAGCTGTGCCAATAAAATAATTAATCCGTTGTTTTAAACGTGCAAAAAAGGTTTTAAGATTTATCACTTTATACATATCTAAAAGAAACAAATACTTTAAAAAGATAAAGTTTTTGTGAAGGTACACGTAGTACCTTTTTTTGACTGATTCGAGATTTGAACAATTGAGATCGTTTGGTACAATTTTAGATACATGTTCCTTTTCTTTATGGTTTATTAATCAAGCAAATTGTTCAATCTTACAGATCATTACAGAGGATGAAAAAACAAAAAGATAAGAAACGAGCATACTTCAAAACACGATCCATGAATTTCCGTGGGTTCTTATCTTTTCCTTTTTACGAAATGTATCATTGATCAACTACGATATTCCGTGATTTCACAAGTTACAAGTTACAAGTCTAGCGCCGTTATTTCTGATCAATTGTAACTACTCTTTACCAAACAAATATTAACTAGCTGCCAAATATATTGATGAATCACGTCATACAATTCAATTGAAAATTAACTGGGAAAGTAAGAATATTGACTATATATATAGTCTATTTTGTTATAGGCTACGTAATTTTTATAATATTTTTAGCTCCTTAAATATTCCAGTAATCAATTGTGCAATTTTGCAATTTAAGCTTTGAAATCAAATTAAATTTTAGTCAATTACCACCGGAAGAACCTTTTAAAATATATATACATCTATATACAATTACCTTCATGATGTAATTGGTTTAATATCACAAAGGAAATAATATTTGAAGATAACAATGTCGTAATTACCATTCACAGAACAGGGCGCTTAGAACCTTACAAGATATATTCAACTCTATGGCTCCTGACGTATGATAAGATAACGAGTTACAGTTTAGCGCTCTGTTGAATAAGATTTTAGTGACGTTTGTTGCATTATATATTATTAATTTGGTACAAGCCGGTCGCCTAAAAAAATTTCCATTATCCTTTGAAGACGTCACATCTATAATCTACCTTATAAGATTTGATGTGAGAAATAAAATTAGGAATTAAGATTTCGAATTTTTTGCATTTTTGCTGGTATAGTTTAAATAATTAGTCAATGCAATTTGTTTCATTAAACTTCTTGTGAAGATGTACGTGTAAATCCATATTGCCAGTCGTACTATAAACGTTAAAACATTGTATCTATATATTACCCTTGATCTATACTGAGTCACTTTATAACTTATAACTATCCACTCGCTATCTAGCTTTAATTAATAAAAATTTATGAACACTTAGAATCATTTATACGTTTGTGTTCCGTAACAATTTTATGTGTCAAAATATTATAAATCGCTATGTTTTACATTGAAATCAAAAGATGAGCTTCTATAACTTAGATAATTGATACTTCTAAGCTTGAAAAGAATACTTATGTACTTATAAAATATGGATAATTCAAAGTTTTGAAATTTGGTATTTTTAACAACTTTCAATTTTAATTTTTTTTAAAACAATTAATGATAGCAAATCTAATTGAAAAAAAAATTTTTGGGAAAAAACATACCAATGAAACCACATCACATATAACGGAGATTTCAAATTTTCCATAGTTAATTTTCGAGCTACTAACAAAAAAATATCACTCGGAGAAAATTTGGCTGGGAGGATGAATTGGTGTTCGGGTTTATAGAAAAATGGTAGAATTTTTAAAAAAGTATAAGTATTTTGTGTCATTTGTTAGTGTAGAAGGGATCCAATTTTGAGATAACCACCACAAAGCTCTATTTGGTGTAAAGAGACATGCTAATGGGTCAATTGATCAATTTGTTTTAATATGGTATACTTCAAATGGTAAGTTTTGCTTGAGTTTCTTCAATTTAAGCTAGTTCAAAAGAGGACCTTTGACTGACACATATTACAAGATACATATCAAATTCTTACAATTAAGCATAAAGAGCTCACTCCAAATCCAAATAATGCTTAAAAACTTGTTTTTCATTTTTGCATTACATGTAAGTGTCTTTACTTCAGATATTTAGTG